CACACATGACGTACCCTAAAGCACATATATATCACACAAAAAGAAAAACAAGAAAAAAAGTTAAAAATCAGCACAATATGACAGTTTCAGTGCAATTCGGAGCAAAATTCGTCGAAAATAACACCCCTGGTTAACCACGTGTGAGCACGTCCCCCTACCCCCTCCCAACCCCACATTAGTGGTGTCTAATGGCCAATACCGATGCTGCGTAGCAGCCAACAACACTGGCCAAGGTCTTGCCAATGCTGACTTGGGGGGACGACAGGTTATCTCTAGCTGATGGAACGCCAAGCTTGCCCAGACATGAGGCCAATCGGGGTCCTGAATGCAACTTCTGTGCCCGACCAACTGAGCTAGGCCCGCAGGCCAACCCAGCTATTCTGAATTACCTGTCACAGGTAAGGTCAATGATTGCCGTCACCACCACCCACCCAGACATGGGGCCTCCCTCCAGTACTCTCAAAATGTGCAAAATGAGGAAAAATGAGGATGAATCACGCCATGAAATCGGGGTTAGTGCAGCTTGGGATTGGGAGGTAGGTTAGTAAGATTCCCTCAGTGAGCAACATGCGTCTCTTTAGATTACCGTATTATCTGAATGAAGTACAAATCATACAGTACGATTGATATGTCACACTGGTAGATTGCACTTATCATATGACACAGGCGAATGAACACGTGAATATTGTTGGGGACTTGGGGTGGAAATGAGTAGAGAGTGATCACCACGTCACAGCGATCGACTGATGTAAGACCCTGTTTGATTACTTTGTGGGATGCATTAATTGCTCGACTGACACATGGCTACGACCGATTTCACGGATGAACATCTCTGGAATGCTACATGTCGCAGTCTGATGGGTACATCAGACCATATTCTTACATTTCTTTCATAAGGATACCGGGTGGGTTGGGTTACAGTTCGGATACAATACTGTGCTAGAGTTTGGTTCAGATGTAGAAAGTGGAGGGGTAATATTAGGGATGTAACACATCAACGGAATCAATCATGTGGAGGGGGGCATGCTTGATAATCCACATCTGGATATAGCAGGGCAGTTAATCCCCTCGTGAGAGGGCAATAAATGCTGTCCCGCGTTCTTCATTGCATCAATGTACTCTCATATGACACATTCACACTGTATTGGATGCATAGTATGAGATCTTCGCAGTACGACAGCTCCACATATCATTGTACAGGGACGTTGGACCCGATTTCCAGCTGATATCATATCATTGTATAGGGACGCTGGACCCAATTTCCAGCGGGTGTAGCTCCCCGCCAATAGATGGAGCCTTCAATGCTGGGCCCCACTTAATAGGAGGTAGCTCCAGAATAACGACACCACGGCCAAATTGCCCAAACATTCATTGTGCTGTAAAAGTTGTATCTGAGGGACGCTGGACCCGTTTTCCAGCAGGGGTTGCTCCCCACCAATAGATGGAGCCTCCCAGGAGGTGCTAGGGGTGTCTGCTCATATCAGCTCCCCTAGCATCCGCCCGGGTTGTGTTTTAACAGGGCTGCTGTTATCACCTCGTTAAGTGGGTTTCCCACTTACGAAGTCAAAAAAAAAAAGGATGAATCTTCCACTAGAACTTGGAAAGATACACCGCCATGGAAAAATACACTGCCATAGTTTTTGTGCATGTAACTGCCATTTCGTCAAAATGGACAGTTTTCATTTTTCGAATGAAATTGAAACCGAGTTTTTTTGGAGATCGTGCTGCGGCGCGGCTAAGGATTGTGAAGACTGTGGATGATACTTAGGAAGTGGAGGCGGCGCTCGCACGTTGGTCCCCCTCTGGGGACCGGCCGGCATGGCCCGGCCTGCTCTTCACGCGACACGTCAGGACGGTGCCTTCGTCATCTGACGTGGCCTCTGAACTGACCGATTGCGCACCACGTGGCGTGTTATCGTTGGACCTCTTGGGAGGGCGAGGTCAGTACGGACGGGAGTTACTAGGTGTGCGTAGGGGTGAGTGACGTGGGGTGAAATACATGTAGGGGTGAGAACTGGGTGGTGGTTGGTGATGGCGCGTTCGCGGGAACTAGGAGTTCATGCGTGGCTTGCTACTGTTCAAGCGGGCAGTGAGTGTGTAAGCCAGGTGGTGGCGAAGCTGAGATCGGCTGCTGCTGAAAGGAAAGTACCGTCAATCTCGTGGATCCACAGTATGCGGCAGTGTTTGCTGGAGGTTACATGGGGGTTGGAGGAGGGGCCGGCCCCCCACCTGGATGCTATTACAGGCTCTCCACGACTGGACGACTTGATGCGGCACTACTACGATGAGCTGAGGAGGGGCAAGCTCTTTGCGTTACGCTGGAGGACCGCTACTATAATGACGACGACGAAACCACGGAAGACGCCAACAGCATCAACCCCAACATCGACTGCAAAGGCAATGACAATCTCACCTGTTTCGCCGTCGATCTCAACAACAACAACAACAATGACAAAAGCAACAACAACGACAGCAACGACAACAACAACATCAGCAACAACATCAGCAACGACGACAAAGATAACAACATCAACAACAACAACAACAACAACAACAACAATAATAACAGCGACAACTGTGATCTTCGTGATGATGGCGATGACTTGCGCATCCAAGTCATTCAGGTCGTAGCCACCGATAACAACGACCATTTTGCCGGCTGTGATGTCAACATTTCCAACAGTGATTCGGATGGGAGTGGTCGCTGGGTGCAGCGGGCTCCTTCCACGATTTTTGTCATATTCAGTGGAGGTTGGCCTTTTGGGGAGGGGATCACTCTCTGCATGTTCATGAGCTGTTCGTGCCGGCGAGGTAGCATTGCGCTCCTTTAGTGGGATCCGGGTGGGAGGGTCGCAGGGTAGGGCAGCGGCCTCATTTACCCATCTGTGCTATCTAGAGGGGGGCGCTATAATTGGCATATCATCTGACTTGACTGCCTTCTCTGATTTAGTATCTCAAGAGCTATCCAGGGTAGGTAATGACTTTGTAATGATTTTGGGATCCGCTATAATTGACTTTCTAACTTTCTAACTTCCTTTTCTGAATGCCTCTCCTCCTCATGGTGCTGCAAGGGTTTGTTGGCAGCTGATGAGGGTTTCAGAGTAGGGATTTGATTTGGACTATGATGGGCAGTTAATCCCCTC